AAATGTTGCCTAAATAAAGAATACTGTTTTTATTGTCATGGTGATCACCCACCCAACACAAATTCATGTAAAATAAATAAAGAGACAAAATATATATACAAAAAATAAATAAATAAATAAATAAATAAAAAGTTAAAGTCTCTTCAAAGAGAATACATCAACTCTTAAAGCCCTTACACTAAACAACAACCAGCCAAAACACAAGTCACACAAAAAAAGCACAAGTATACAAACAACAGGACACAACACAGCACAATCATATGCCCAGACATTGAATCAATCTCAAACTTTAACATTAGGACAAATAATCTAATGAAACCTAAGAATTAAAATATACACACACAAAAAAGCTCATAAAAAATCACAAGTAAAGACTGATGAATTAAACAGAAAAAAATAACACAAAAAACTCAATCACTAAAACAATACAAGATTTTCTGATAATGGGGTCTCTACCAACACCCATGAAAGGAAAATAAAACGACAAAAAGATACTTAGATGAATAAAGATTTCTTATGGGTGAAAACAATAAAGAATATAGTCAGTGTGATGTAAAATGTAATAATCAACATGAATTCTGAAAGACATTACAGAAATTCATACAAACTATGCATGATGGAACTCTAACCATAAAAGATAATGAAATACTTGATAAAACCATCCTCTATGAATAAAAAAGAGATTTAGAATATTTGTTATATAGACAATATATTGACATATATGTAGAAAATAATAGAATATTTGAATAATAACAGAATACACAATAATAGAAAAGAATAATAAAATAATATTGGAATAATAGAATAATAGAATATAGACAATAATAGGATATTTGATACACAGAGAATAACCAGAAGTGATAGGACTATGTAAGATCTGGCTAAAAGAATAAATAAGCTTAATAAAAAAAAAATATATGACATAATTAGAAAGGACAGAAGAGAACAAATTGGAGGGGTTAAGCCTTTTGCATAAGGGCAGTACATGTGTTGGAACCCAAATTTAAACTTTTAATTTCCAAATATTACAGGGGCAAAAATCCTGTTTGAACACATTAGTCAATATAGAATTTTGCTAATACCTCCAGGCCATATTACAGGAGTAGATCCCAGTAATGCAAAATGAAGCTTATAAAGTCACCTTATAATAGGATCAATAACTTGATGGAGGAATAAACATTGCAACCCAGCAGTAGAAACAAAGCATGCAACAAACAGAAAAAAAACAGTCAGGAAAATCTATCCCAAGATAAGAAACAATTAACAGAAGTTCTATTAATGATAAAGAAAAAAGAAAATCCTGATAATTTTTTTGTGTCTCACTAGACTTTAAAAGAAAGAAAAGTGTGGAACTTTAGAAAAAGCTTTACCATTAAAAAAAGGAAGAAAATCCCTAAAAATAAAACTATTAAAATTCTGAGACACCAAAGAACTTATAATAATAGTAAAATAATAATTATAGAGTAAAAACAGCCAAGAAGAGCAAGAAATAAGCATAGGGGTCGGACGAAATAACATATAAATTTTATAAATACGCTCAAAGGAAACTATTGGAAAAATATACAAAGAATCATAGATTATTACTCCTCCAAAGGACAACATCCAGATGAAGAAATGTTCTAGTCAATCCAATATTAAAATAAAATAAGCCCACAGATTTAAAACATTTTTTTTTTTTTTGGGGGGGGGGGGGTGAAAATGATAAACAGTAAAATTGTTTGAAGGCTTGAAACATAGTAAATAGCTTTCAGACCTAGTCAGACCACAATTCATGTGCCGGAAATAATAGATTTGTAAACTAATAAAGCTAGAAGAGCAGAAATAGATATGCATTAACTGCACATATTGATTTTGAAAAAAAAAAGCTTTTGATTCTGCAATAAATGAAGCAATATTATTCAAAGCTGGAAATTGGGAATTACAGGTTCATCACTAAACTTTATAACTTTCTAAGGGGTAGGGACTTTTCAAACTGTAATAGTAAACAGCAAAACTTAAAAAGAAAATAACATAAAGATGGGACCACAAGGATCTCCACTAAGCCCAACCCTCGTCAATTATTAATGGCTGATTTAGAGGAAATAGTTGACACACAAAATGATTTAAGCAGATGATGTCACACTGATAACATCAGGCAAAGACATTCAATCAATAAATTAAAAAAGCTAAAAGAATGTCTCAGAATTAATTGATATATATAAATTTTAAAAATTAACTTGTTAAAAAGTAAAATGGTGTTTCACAAATAGATATATCCAATACCAAAAACAGAAACAGACAATAGATATTTTCCACAAATAACAGTATACTATGGCTGATATATAATGCATCAAAGCTGACCTTATTGACATATTGAGAATTGAAAAAGCAAATAATAATAATACATTGAAATTACAAACACTACAAAATGAAGTAATGAAGAAAGCCACAGGATGTTTCAAATCAACACCAGTCATTATACTACAAGCGTTAACAGATAGCAACAATAAATAAATTAATAAATAAAAAGGAACAGAATGCAAAATAAAACTATAAGAAAAAAAATCATATGCTAATGAAAGAAATGATCACTAAATAAATATTTGAATAGGCACTCAACAAAGGTAGAAAATCAGAAGAAATGAATCCAGGGGATATAGATAAAATTAAAATCTAAAGTCCCATAAATGAAGGAAGAAGAAATAGGCCTACATTTAATACACTGATGGCCATTAGTCTCTCTTTCTTTTCATATAAATCAACGTGATTTTTAAAAAGTAAACATTCACCGAGAGAAACAAGCATGAAAAATTTATTTCTACATAAATAAATAATGCAATTCTATATATATATTTTTTTTCCTGAGGTAGAAAAGTAAAGAATAAGCGATTTCCTACAAGTTTTTCTCTGAAGAGCAGATGAGTCCACCCACAACCCCGCCCGAGGCACCAGACTCACTTTGCTGGTTTCATGAGAGTAGCGAAGAAGAAACTCACCTCCAGATATAGTCTTCGTCCCGCCTGTTGTGGAAAAGGAATCAGTCAGAAGTTGGCATTGGCTGCTTTTGCCTCGACAGATTACATAGGAAAGCAAAGGGTCAGTGAAAAATTAGTTACTTAGATAATGAAATCGTGGAAAGTAAACCCAATGATAAAAAAACAACACATAGTTTTTAAAATCATTAACTACTTTGAATATCTATGACTGGAATTGGCTGCAAAAAGTTACTTCTCAATAAACATCATTTAAAAATTAAACCTTGGTAGTAACATAAGGATTTCTTTTGATTTTCCATATTTTCTCCTGCCTTTTCTTTTTTTTCTGTCTCTCAAACTATTTTTAAAATCTTAAGTCCCGCAATCTTTGACTTCTTTAAGAACTTATATATACGTCAAAAATAAATGATAAATAAAAAACAAATAAAAAAATAATAACAAATAAAAATTATTTTAATTCATATTGTTGCATTTAATATTTAATGATCAACTTTTCTCAATTCCTATGTCTATATGTCCTTTCTTCCCTTCTCTCTGCCTCTCTTTCTCCCTCTCCTCTCTTTCTTGAACTCCAAAACTGGAGAGAGAGAAAGAAAAAAAGACAGAGAGAAAGAGACAGAAAGACAGATGAAGAGAAAAAGAAAGAAAGAAGCCAGATCACTCACGTCCAAAAGAGACCGCCCAACCCCCTTTCCACGAGGCCTCTCAGCCGCTCTGCTTTTCCTCCGTCGATTCGGGGAGACGCAGCCACTCCCCTCCTAACCCGGACTCCCTCGCGGCCGAGCTGCTCCACGAGGCGAGCGAGAGCCTCCTCCTCCTCGCACGCCCCAGGGAAGAGGAGCATGAAGTACCTGGAGTGAAAAGCGAGCGATGAGAAAGAGAAAAGAGCGAGATAGAGTGAGAGAGGGGGGGGGGGGGTAGAAAGAGGGAAAGAGAGAGAGCGGGAGAAAAAGAGAACCTCCTCCTCCTCGGACGCCCCAGGGAAGAGGAGCTCGAAGTAGCTGGAGGGAAAATTGAATGATGAGAAGAGATAGGGAGAGAGAGGGAAGTGAGAGTGAGTGATTCTTAAGCTCCAGCTGGCGTCACATTCAAATATATCATTAAATAGATAAAATCAATGCATATATATTATTCAAAATGGCGCATATGTTATACACTCTGATATCCTCCTAAAGCACACATGAACACACATTGATAAAATAACATACATCAAATACTTTCAATGAACGTTTGACTGCATTGTTTACCCGTCCATTCTCGCTCATCAATTTATTTCATATTCATAAAACCTTCAAACGTATGCAAACGTGGCTTCTTTCAGGGGAAATAACTTACTGTGCTGAAGTAACACACAGAATAACCATAATTCCAGAGATAAATATATTTACGGTAAAAAAATAATAATAATGTGATGACCTTTGCTGGAAAGCCGCCGTCTGTTGCGATTCATATGTCTAAATTAGTGAATATATATATATATATTAGAAAATTATGTATTTAAAGGAACAACGCATATAAAGGCACGGTTCCATAAAAGGTTAGAAATCAGGAGTCAAACCATACAGTTCAGAGCTTGAAAAAAATATATAACCTTTTTTATTATGACTGTATTTTTCTTTCATAAGGATTGACAAAATACACAAATATATATTTTTATTTCAGGGGGCTTGACAAAATAGTATTAACACCCAGGTATGAGTTTATGATACATTTAGTTATGATTATGAATTTATAATGGAAGCTTTTTTTCTTATAATTTTCTCTATGAACGATAAATTTCTTTATAAATAACTTTGCTAAATGCAAATCACTTGTATGATTTGCCTTTCAACAGAATACAGAAATATCATTATAATATTATTATGCAAATTGTAATAATAACTATAAAGACAAAATTTTCAAATTCCAGTATGCAGAAAAAAGTAAGATATTTTTACTTCAGCAATTAATCTTATAGTAATAGTATAGTAATCTTGAGTGTTAATGGTTGTAATTGCATATCATGTCAATTTTCATTGATAATAC